GAGAAATATTTATATATATTTCAGCATTACCGCAAGATGTATTTTCCGTTATAGACAGTTATCAAATTGATCGATATTGCTAGTTAGCTTTTTTTTCTTTTAAAATCATCACCGCATTTTCATTACATACTTGCCTATACAGCTGCTTTAGTGATATATAATATAAATGTCTAGATTAATTTCTGGTAGATAATAATTACACTACTGTATCGCATGCGTGTTTCGTGTAAATTTAGTGAAGTTCTGTTTCATTAATGACAATCGAATTCACCACAAAGATCAATGGTCTAGTTGGTTATTATTTGAATAAGGAATATTGCCCATATATAATGTAATGTAATGTATATATTTATTGAAACTAATAGAAGAGGAATGACAAAGAAATAATAATAATAGTTTGCTCTGGGAACATTCGCATACACGGCCAACGTCATAATCACTTGACAACGAAGGCGTCGTGGAGGGTCCAACCGCCAGTAGATTCTAAATCCCATTAATTTTTTTTTTTTGACTTTTGTCTAAACACTTACTTATATATTTATTTTATTTCATATCACTTATGATACAAATGTATATGTATATAGGCTGTGTTTGTGTATAATGTTATAATGTGTAGGTGGAAGTATGGGTGTGTGTTTATTTACTGTAATGTTAAGATAAAATTGATTAAATACGGAGAATTTAGATACAGAACGTCATGGTAAATAACAATTTGTTACATTGAAAAAATGCTATGTGACTTACGTAATTGTATTATTCTAATGGTACATACAGTTTTAATTACGTCGTACATTGTAAACTGTGTGAAGAGTAATGTCACTGACGAATTAGGTGATTAGCAGGATCATATAGTGATCTAATAATCGTTATCCTAATAATTGGGATCGGAAATGATTGATCATAAAAGAAGCTGTTAGTATCAAAATCAAACCAGGCATGGCAAAAACACATGGACATTTTTGCTACTGTGTCAGTATGTCAAAACTATCGCGCACGAATTCATATGCTTGAAGGAGCGGTTGGCGCACCGGTTGTGGCTTGGCCTCCCAACCTTGAGGTCGGGGGTTCAAAACTCTGGCTGTGCAAATCGCTTGTGTCCTTGGGCAAGACACTTTATCTACGGTTGCCTCTCTCCACCCAGGAGAACATGTGGGTACCTGGTAGGTTCCAACACAACCTGCGCTGATTACTAGCTGCAATTTATGGAATGATGATATAATTTCATTTACTAATTTAATTTGGTGTTTCAATGTGTTCCATATGTGTTTGCTCCAATGACCGGGGTAGTAATGTGAAGCGCTTAGAGGCCTTGTAAAAGCATGAAGCGCTATATAAGAACGAAATATTATTATTATTGATGCGCCCGTACGGCATGGTTATTGGCCCTAAAAATGACTGAAAAACAATGAAAACTTGTGAATACAGTGTCAGGAACCCAAAATATGTAAAACATTCCTTACGTGCTGTGTGCGTAAAAATGCGCACTCGGCGTGGAAAATTTGGAAAATTATAAAATGCTCAAAATGTCCTGAAACGTGCTCTAAATTAGTCAGAAAGTGATTTTAAGCATTTTGAAAATGACGAGCGTACAGACTGTAATGGCATACGAAGTCAACTTTATATAAAGTATACTTTTGTCAAGTTTCATTGAAAAATGCCTGTTTGTAAGGAATTTATGATCAATCATATAATTTTAAAAAAATGATTGTGACATCACCCAAAAAGTTTTGCATAACTTCAAATGTGGCTCTATAATTAATATGCTGACCAGAATAGAGCCCTTGCCGTTTTTAAGCAAAGCCGCGAACGAAAGAGGCGAGAAAGAATAAAAAATAAAAATCGTAAGAAAAACAATAGGTGATAAAACCTGCGTATCAGCTTATCACCTAAAAAATGTTCTCAACAAGATGTATAAAAAGGTGTTTTAGTATTCAAGTTAAAGTCGACAGATAAGTAGGTGAATAAAAGTTGGTGTTGGTTGTTGAAATGGGGAGGGGATATTGTGTGCCGAATAAGAACTTATAGCACCAGAATTGGAGGATGTTTGTCATAAACACCAATCGGACTACCCCTACCCCCAGCAGCGTTCTTATTAAGCAAATATGTGTATCCCTTTTGTTGAAACGGTATTCTAGGTTGAAAGGAATGATGCAGGTTGTTTTTAGAATATTTCTACCATAATATAACCACATTTAAACTCCATCTAATTTAACGAAAACAATTACTTAATTACTTAATTATGCCATTCTTCAAAATAAAGTTATCTGAAGGTTAACTATAGAATTTACAGTACACTGTAGTTAGTGTGTGTTATATGTTGAAAAAACGGTATCGAATAAAAGAAAATCGAATAAAAAAAAATCTTTCGCTTGTGACATTAGTCATTTGTGAAACAAAATGATAGGCTATGTCAAGTGTTTATATTGAACAGTGGAGGGTTCAAGTGTGATCCTAGTCAGCACGGGTCCCCAACCTCCTAATTTTTTCAAAATTATTTTTAAAAAATGGAGACAAACAGACAAAATTCTATTCAACTTTTAATCTGAGAGTGCCATTTCCGACCATTTAGAGGTGCCATTATCTTAATTGTTTCTTACCTCAGCCAAAACCGTCGTGGGGTTAAAGTGGGTAGACATTCCATTTGTACAAGACTCTCCCTGGGTCCCCTCTATTTCGACTTCCTTAAAACCTCCACAGTTGGAGTAGACCTATCATTTCCGGGCTACTATATTTTTTATCTATCTGGGGAAAAGTGACGTTTTCGTAGAGGAATACTCATATTAATGATACCCCTCATGATTAATAATTCATTGAGGTCGTGGAAGCAATCTCGACTTCGACTTTTTTCGGAAA